ATTATAACTTGTGAATAAAACGTAAGACATAAAAAAAGAAATATATAATATTTACAATAAAGATTTTGTTAACAATAGAAATATGACAATAAATATAACAATAAAAATTAGGAATAAAGAATGCGTAAACTCGAAGAAGTCCTTGAGGTCTTGTCGTAGAGAACCGCTGGAATCAAAACGCTTTAAATGAATTCATTTTCATTGATTTTTTGTAAATGTTTATTAGATTTTTTTTTATTAATTAACATATTAATATTATTAATATTAATTAACAGATCCAATTCAAAAGAATTGGATCTGTTCCGATAAATAATTATATAAACCGTTGCATAGAATAGTTAAAAATAATATACTTCAGTATAATTATTGATGGGTTTGATGACGTCATAGTGTGTTTCTGTAGTATTTCTTGTAGTATTTCTAACGGCGATGGAGAACTTTTAACCATTGAAATAATAATTGAACAAACAAAAAACATTCTTCTAAGCTGCTGTTATCGACCACCTGATGGTGTGGCCAAAAACTTGAAAAAAATTTTTATTTTTATTATTTCCTTCTTTAAAAACGTTTTGTAGTAAGAACATTACTACAAAACGTTTTTAAAGAAGGAAATAATAAAAATAAAACAATAATTATTTTAATTACAATAACCTACTATACAACAATCGATTCGGTTTCAAAAAAGATAGTTCAACTGAGCATGCCATTATTCAATTTGTACGCAACATCTCCAAATCCTTTGAAAAAGCTCAATATACATTAGGTATTTTTATAGATCTATCAAAAGCATTTGATACGGTTGACCATAATATTTTAATACAAAAAATGAAATATTACGGTTTAAACAATAATACTTTAGCGTGGTTTAAAAGCTATTTAACAAATCGTAAGCAAGTAGTCTATAGTAATAATGACGTTCAAAGTTGATCCTTAAATATAACCTGTGGTGTTCCACAAGTTTCTATTCTTGGACCGCTGCTATTTCTTATATATGCCAATGATCTAAACAAAGCCTCTAACCTGATGAGTATTATTTATGCCGATGATACTAACAGGGCCGGCGCTAGTATATTTTGGTTTTTGAGATAGCTAACTTCCAGACATGAAGCAAACTCCAAACATATATATATTTATACTTATGTCAAATAAGGATGCTTTGCAAAAAATTGCGATAATTGGAGCTTGGAAACAACATAGCCCCAAAATTTTTGCCTAGTCTGCCTCAAACGTGAGAGCAACAAGTTGATAAAATATTTTTTGTACTATTTTCAACTAGACTAATATTCATCGATAAATTTTAAGTTTTATAGTATAGTTTCTTAGTGTTCAAAAATTATAACAATATAAAACTTGCAACCCCCTCAAATTGAGGGGGGTTTAAACATTATATCGTCATAATTTTTGAACGCTAAAGTATTTTACTATGAAACTTAAAATTTATCGATGAATATTAGTCTAGTTAAAAATAGTACAAAAAATATTTTATCAACTTGTTGCTCTCACGTTTGGGGCAGACTAGGTAAAAATTTTGGGGCTATGTTGTTTCCAAGCTCCAATTATCGCAATTTTTTTGCAAAGCATCCTTATTTGATATAAGTATAAATATATATATATGTTTGGAGTTTGCTCCATGTCTGGAAGTTAGCTATCTCAAAAACCAAAAAATACTAGCGCCGGCCCTGGATACTAACTTATTTCAATCCCACACTGATGTTTACAAACTTTTCTCAAAAACTAATAATGAACTTATGAACATTTCTAAATGGTTTAAATGTAATAAATTAACGGTAAATACTAACAAGACTAAATGTATTCTTTTTCATTCCTTCTCAAAAAAACGTTCTTTACCAGATATTATGCCTCAAATTTATATTGATGAAACTCTAATAAAAAGAGATTCTGTTATAAGATTTCTAGGTGTTTATCTTGATTAGAATATTACTTGGAAAAATCATATTAATCATATAACCACCAAGGTATCTAAAAATATTGGCATTTTGTATAAAGCCCGACCTTACTTAAGCAAAAAAAGCCTTACACAGCTCTATTACTCATTCATACACAGCTATATAAACTACGCAAATATTGCATGGGGTAGTACCGAAAAAAGTAAACTACAACCTCTATATCGCCAACAGAAACATGCGATTCGCGTGATTAATTATGTGGATCGCTCTACACATTCAAAGCCTTTCTTTGATGAAATAAAAATACTTAATGTGTACAAACTTAACGTTTTTAATGTTTTATGTTTTACTTATATGTGGAAAAACAATTTATCCCTACCTGTTTTTAACGACCTTTTTACATTAAAACTTACTAATAAGTACTCACTAAGAAATAAAGATTTGCTAAATGAACCATTTTGTAGAACAAAATTTAATAAATTTTGTATTAATTATAAAGCACCTTACCTTTGAAATAAAATAGTTCTGCCTAATTTTGATCCTTTTATCCGTTTTTCTGTTTTTAAAAATGAATTAAAAAATTTTGTTCTTGCTATGGATGACATTTTAAGTTACTATTAGCTTTAAGTATAAACTTGATTTACGAGATTTATAGTAATATTTATATTAATAAATTTATTATCTTTAATTTATAACAGATCTATGAAATTTTATTTTAAAATTATTATATGGATTTTTATAACAGATTTGTGAGAATTATTATTACAGATACGTGATTAATATTATGAATTTATTATTATATATTTATTTCTACGGCCGTTTTTTGGATTTATATTTTTAGTTTTTATAGTATGATAAAATTGTAAAGGTTCTGATGATAAGATCAGTTGATCTTCTTTCAGAAGCTCTTGTAAAATATAGTTTTTATTTTACGGCAAATGTAAATAAAAAAAAAAAAAAAACAGAATTAAATTGGTATCTTAATTAAAACTAAAACGATCAAAATATTCATTAAGCGCAATATTAATTAAATTGACGTTTTGTGTCGACTATGACTGCGTCTATCAATGTGTTGAAAAAATTCATTTTGTACTGTTTCAGCAGATTCTGTAGATTTATCTATGTTTATAACTGAACATTCTTTTTTTTCATACTATTCTTTTTTCTATAAACTGTGACTCAATTTCGTAAGCGCTTTTATCATACCCAAACAAACAAATAGAATAAAATGTAACAAAATGTAAAAAAAAATTTAAACTTACGCAGTAAAACCACCGAAATAAGACTCCTCCTCCTTTGTACGCACCTGTATGCTTCAAACAACCCCTCTCCCTAAATACACACACTTCTTTCTATGTATGTACGCATTATTTATTACAAAATCTCTTAACCAAAAATTTTGTAAAGTAGGGCAAACAACACATTTTTTAGACAGGGACAGTTATTGGACACTACAGAACTTATTTTTGAAAAATAAACAATTTTGCCATACGTATAATCGCTTCTTTGCCGGCGCAACTTTGCAATATTTATGTAAAAAACGTATTTTGTTGTGCTGTACATTTGTAATATAATAGCGAATTTTCTTACAAAATTAGTTGAGTTGAACTTTTTAAAAGGTAAATATAATGATATTTCATTTGGAAATATACATAAAATATAGTTTATAAAAAGTGTATGAATTTCAAACAATAATAACCTATGGTTCTTATTGTTCATGTATATACATGAACAATAAGAACCATAGGTTATTATTGTTTGAAATTCATACACTTTTTATAAACTATATTTACGATCCCTTACGAAAGAAAAAATATTTTTCAGCGTGTTTTTCGTTAAAATATTTTTTCTTTGGTAAGGGATCGTCCATAAAATACGTACGCTCGGAGAAGAAGAGGAGGTCTGCAAATGGCGTTTCTGAGATAAGGGGGCAGTAGGTCAATTATAAAAGTATGGTGACACTAAATTTAAAAAAGTATCATTAAATGTCGGGTTAGTAGGTTAAAAGCGTAGGTACTTTTAGGGAGGTAGAGAGTACTCAAAAAAGCGTACGGGAAATTGTTTTACAGAAGACTACTAACAAATAAATAAATCCTTTAAATTTTTTCTAAAGGAAAATAACCGCTACAGTGGAGTTAACATTTTGAAATACATGTAAACAATAAAAAAGCAACTTTTAATTAAATTTTTTTTAAAAAGTTTTTAGTTTTTTTTTAATTAATTCTAAACAAAAAAAAAGTTGTTATAAATCCTTTAATTTTTTTTTTTGCTATTTTAAATGAAATCCACCTTCATTTTCTTCTTTGCTTTTTGTTAAATAAACTTAGACTTAGTTGCTTGCGGCCGTGTTGAAGTTGGTGTTTAGAAATTAATAAGAGAAAAAAAAGCTTAATAGTGGATATTGGTGGCATTATTAGAAACACCTCTACAAGTGTAAATACAAAAAACGGGTGTTAAGCAATAATGATTATAGACTTAATTATATATTTTTCCACACTTTAGCAATCCGTAAAATTACGATTCACTTATCATCCACTTAATCAGCACTGTCTACAAAAGAGTACAAATCGCTTAAAAAAAAGCAACTTTGAATTAAATTTTTTTTAAAAGTTTTTAGGATGAAGGAGCAATTAATTCTAAACAAAAAAAAGTTGTTATAAATCCTTTGAATTTTTTTATATTTTTTGCTATTTTAAATGAAATCCACCTTCATTTTCTTCTTTGCTTTTTGTTAAATAGTAACTTAGACACTGTCTACAAAAGAGTACAAATAGCTTAAATGTGATCGATTTGATCAATCGAATATAAAAATCTTATAAAATCCGGCTTCAATAAAAATTAACCCCGGTCGCTAATGAACGCAAGAATTTAAAATTAAAAAAAAGTAAAAATAAATATTTCACAATACAAAGAATACTTGTATAAATACAAAATAAATACAGTAATAAAACTTTTACTGAAAAATAAAATTTTTAAAGTAAGTGCCACTCGGCTTCTATCTAAGATTTTAATTTTAAAGACTTAAAAAATAACGTGTATATATTGTAGCATATTCAGAAAAAAAAAAAAAAAATTAAAACAAAAACCATAAAATTAAAAGATAAAACATAAAATTTTTATTGAACATTTGAAATAACTATATCAGCATGTTTCAAATTTTCCAGGCATTTCTAATCATCAAAGTAAAATATCCATCACTATCAATGTTGGCGCTAACGCCAGCATAATAATTGATGAATTCTTCTTCAGTAACCTGATAAATTTATAAAAATTTTGAAAAAATAATTTATTTTAAATATTTCTTTAAACAAAATATTTTGAAAAATATTTACCTTGCCGTCTCTTAGCTTTTCATCAGGTTCAAATGAATTAAGAAACTCTTGAAAAACACGATTTTCATCCCACTGGCCATTTTTATATTTCGGATGTTCAGTGACTTTATAAACACGTTTTAAGTCTTTCGCATCTAAAATACCATCACCAGTTACATCAGCTTTTTTAAATGCTTCCTGAACTACCTTTAAACGATTATTGACTAAATTTCCCTATAAAAAACATCAATTTAGATTTCTTTATTTTTGCATATATATAAAGAGTTTGATTATTTGAAAAAATACAACTTTGTGATGGAACTTAAAGTTTCATGCCCTTCGGCAATCATCAGCCATATTTTAGATAAAATATGGCTGATGAATAATAATACTTATCTATTTAGTAAACAATTTACTTAATATTGATTACTCTCAAACGAATAAGAGACTTTGTATCATAACTTGGTACAATAAAAAAACATCATCTATATATATATATATATATATATATATATATATATATATATATATATATATATATATATATATATATATATGTATATATATATATATATATATATATATATATATATATATATATATATATATATATATATATATATAAATATATATATATATATATATATATATAAATATAAACTTACTCTTAAACCAAGTAAGAACTCATCAAAAGATATATATCCACTGCCATCTTTGTCAAACTCTTTAAACAAACTGATACATTTCTATAAAGTATAAAAATAAAAAAATATGCTTATATTTAAGAAACATATACTAACATTATATAATATAATAAATTTTTATATAAATGTGAAAAACACATTCATTTATAAAGTTATGGCCATTGAAATCCGACCACCAGTATCATTTTACTTAAAACTAGTTTAATGTAGTAATAAACAATTGTATTATAGCAATAAAAGAATAACAGTAGCAATTAATGATTATAATGTAACATATCGTACATATTTAATGTTTATATTAATGTTTTTTACTCTCAGGTTCATTAAAGTTAATATTTAGTGGCACCACCATGTGCTTTTAAGACTGCATTAATGCGATCTGGCATTGAATCCACGAGAGCCTGACAATATTCTGGCATTATTTCAGTAATCCAACCTTGACGAGTTTTGTGTGCTAGATCGTCCAGTGATGTAGGATTTGTTCTGGATACTGCTGACTTTAACTTGACCCAGCAATTTTCGATTGGGTTCAAGTCTGGGGATGATCCCGGCCAAGGACCCAGAACCTGAACCTTGTGATCCTCTAACCAAGATTTTACAAGACGAGATTGGTGACATGGTGCACCATCATGCTGGAATATCTCGCAACGACGAATTTCCATCAAATTTGGAACCTTTTCTTCAAGGATTTTTAGATATTGTTGGGAGTTAACAGTCTGTCCCTTCTGCATTAAATAAATACCACATCGACGAGATGAAGCTATCGCGCCCCACACCATGATTGAAGGACATTGCTTGACAGCTGGTACGGTATACCTTGCATTAAAACGCTGATTAGGGGGCCAACGAACTAATGACTTATGCGGAGCGAATTGCTTTATTTGTGTCTTGTGGCTGAACATTACCTGGCGCCATTTGGTTATTGACCAGTGTCTGTGAGCTCTACAAAATGCGATCCTATCATGGATGTTCTTTAAAGACAGTCGCGGTTTGAGGGCTGGACGACGAGAACGTAGACCTGCATCTTTCAATAAACGTCTTCTAATTGTTCGAGTACTGACTGTAACATCATTAGGTAGATCTGCCCTGATTTGTGTGCTGGATATTGTTGGATCTCTTACAGCAGCCCTGTGTATCATAGTAATTCTAGTAATTCTAGCTTTACCAAAACGTTTTCTGGGCGCAGTGGATCCCGTGTCTTTGATTAGTTGTATAATATTATGAACAGTAGATTTTGGCATTCGCAATCTTGCTGATATCTGACGCTCACTTTCACCATCCTCCCATAAAAGTTTAATATTAGCACAAACACCTTCCTTCGTGTCATAATTAAATTGTGACAGTTAGATGATAATCCATACCCTACAATGAGATATATAGCTTATTAAATTTTACAGTGCAATAAAATAAATGCTAATACGAAGAAGGAAAGATAATAAATTGATTATTCGCATGCATAGACTGTTTTTCTTTATATTCAGCAGTGGTTGGATTTCAGATTTCAATGGCCATAACTGTATGTATGTATGTGTATATATATATATATATATATATATATATATATATATATATATACACATACATATATATACACATACATATATATACACATACATATATATACACATACATATATATACAGTGGTGTACACTGGACTTTTAGATGTTTGAGTTTTGACACTTACACACATTTTGCAAGCTCCAAACTTTTGTATCATCATGCTTATGTCAAATGAGAATGTTTTGCAAAAAATTGCGGTGATTGGAGCTTGGGGACAAAAAACCCCCAATTTTCGTGCCCACCCAGCCCTTAACGTGGGAGCAACAAGTTGATAAAATAATTTTTTTAGTATTTTTATATAAGTTTATAATCATCAACAAATTTCAAATTTCATCCAATAATTTCATATTTTTCGAAAATCATGACCATATAAAGTTTAAACCCCCCTCAATTTGAGGGGGCTGTAAACTTTGTAGGATCATAAAAACTAAAAACTAAGAGATTATTGCATGAAATTTGAAACTCGTTGATGAATATAAACTCAGATAAAAATACTAAAGAAATTATTTTATCAACTTGTAGCTCCCACGTAAAGGGCTGGGTGGGCCCGAAAATTGGTTTTTTTTTGTCCCCAAGCTCCAATCACCACAATTTTTTGCAAAACATTCTCATTTGACATAAGTATGAACATACAAAAGTTTGGAGTTTGCAAAATGTGTGTAAGTAAAATGTGTGTAAGTAACTCAAACATCTAAAAATCCAGTGTACACCACTGATATATATATATATATATATATATATATATATATATATATATATATATATATATATATATATATATATATATGCAAATGAATGTATTTTATATAATAAATATAATTTAAAAAATTTTTATTTTGTTTTGACCCACTTGCAACCAAGTTTCCATACCTATTAAGATTTCAATATATTTTAAATTCGCCCACGCAAGATCTATGCAAAAAGAATAGAGACAAAAAAAAAACTTAATTTAACTTAAAAAATTACACCGCAGAAAAAAAAAACAAATAAAGAAAGCTAAAAATTACAATATAATTAAACAATTTAAGCTAAATTTTACTTCATGGCTAAAATCAAGACCAAAATCCTTAACACCTTTACAAAATTCTTCTAGCGACAACATTTTGTTACCATCATCATCATATATACGGAATGCTCTAAAAATAATATAAAGAATAAATCAAAACAAAATTAAGTACTAATGTAACACACTGTGTGTTTAGCATCAATTTTCCTAGTTATAGTTCAATGTTTTTTTAAGCTTTCACACATGTGTGGTTTCCATAGTGCCAATCTGTTTTGCACATCATGATTGAGTTTATTGTAATAATGCCACTAGGAAAATTACTATTTAAATCTTACAAGCTCGGCCTAAAGTTACTCATAATTAAATTGAGTGTTTATATCAAAATTTTCCTCCTTCTAGTTACATTGCCTTTGCCACAGCTAAGAACTATTATCTGCATAACTGTTTATATAAATACATATAAATTTTTTTTCTTCTAATAATTGTTTCAGTTTTTGATTATAAATTATTAGTTAGTGTGAAATATGAAGCAAAATACTACCTTTTTACTTTAACTTAACCATATATCTAAGAAATCCAAGTCCAGAAAAATTGGAAAACAATTATTGCTTTGCTTCTGTATTGATTTTTATTACTATATATATTATATTGCTGCATTTTTGTTGTTGATAATACAACAGTGTATTTAATAATTTTTGCTATACATCTCCAAAATCCATCGCTAAATTTTCAATTTAATAGGTAAATTAACAAATTTATATGTATGTATAACAAATATAAAAATCATGTTTACGCATTTTATATTTGCATTCATTTTTTGAATCTTAACTAATTTCACTTTATTTTTATCTGTTTTTTGTTGAATTTTTTTTTTTTTTTTAAACTGAGGTTTGGTAAGTTTTTTTCTTTTTATTATCATGGATTTTTTTTATGTTTTGCTTCTTTATTCTTTAAGGTGTCACTTCATTTTTCAAGGTTTCACTTCATTGATTAGTTTTTAATTATATGTGTAACAGATTGCGTAAAGTTAAACCCACGGATGCAGAGTCCTAAAAAAACTTTCCTGTCTGAGTGACAATAACTTAAAACTTGCTGTTTTTAAGCCTGGAGTCATGTAGCCCTTGCCACCATATTACATAAGGACTGTGAGTTCAAAAATTAATTGGTCTTCTCATCTAAAAATCTTAATTTTTTCCCTCAAAAATAGCCCATAAGCTTCTTTACATTTATGAAGCTCTTGGATGGGCAATGTCATGTTAAAACATCCAATTTTTTTTTAAAATGCAACTTTAAGTGTAAGATTTTGCTGATTTTTAAACCACTTTTTAAAGATTTTAGTAAATTATAAACATCCTAAAAACTTTATCTGATCTAATTGGTCTCATTTTAACTGGTTCCTAAGATATAGCTATTTAACTTTGCCTTTAACCAACAAAAATCCAAAATTTTTAAATATGGTTTTAGTTCTAGTTTCTGTTAGATGTGTTGGAATGCTGAAAATTTTACTTTTACATATTTACACCTTTACATATTTTGGGCCAATGAATCCAATGAAACAATTTAAAATATTTAAAAATGAATTTAACACCTAAAATTTAAATGTTTATCACAAATTTACTGGAGCGAGTCCAATCACAAAAATCCAGATGTAGCTCAATTTTTTTTTAAGCTGTCCTAAATAGTTAAGTTATAGTTATTACAAAAAAATGGAGAGTGGTCTTTTCTAAAACAAAAATAAAAACATGATTAAATCTACTTTAATTTATTGCTTAAAAGACAGGTATCATGATAAGTCATAAGAGAAAAAAATGTAGCAAATTGACAGTCATTTAACTGAAACAGTTTTGCCTATATCAAAATGTTCTTTTAGATGTTGTTGACTTTTTTCTGTTTTTTTTTATAGTAGTTTTATTATTTAGAAATTTTTATAACGTTGTAAAACTAAAACTAGAATGTTCATTAATGATGTAAAATTTTCTAATCCTGAACAACCTTGACCACATTGAATGAAACATTTTTCTTGCATCTTATTAGGAATAATAAATAATAGTTTATTGATTTTTTATATACAGGTTTTAGGACTGATATATTAAAGAATGATAAGTGTTGTGATATTTTAGAAAGAGTTAAAAGTAATATATACAACTTTAAATTGATAATGGTAAACAAATACTTGAACCCATATCAAAGCTAAACAATTATTTTAATCTTTGTTAATCAAGGTTTGTGTTTACAAGTAATAAAATTGATAGTGGGTTGTAGCCATAACTAAAGAAACCTACTCAATTAAAAGGGCCTTCGCAGCTTCAGGGAAATGAATTGAAATAAAAAAATATAGAAATGTACTTGATACTTGTCTATGCTTAAATATATGAAATAAGGCTGAACTATTTGCAAAGAAATTCTCTTCTAATCTGACTCTCAAATCTTATGGCCTTTCTCTTCCTTCCATTCTAATTAAACAGGTTAACCCATTGTTAGACATTCAAACTACTTCAGCTTCCATTACTCATAGTCATATCTCGATTAAACTCTTCTACGGCTTGTGATCCAGACAAAATTCCTGTCACAGTCGTACAAAATTGTTCTTCAGGACTCAATTTTCTCTAAACTGTTTATTAAGTACTTGACATTATAAAAACAATAAAAACTTTATAAATCTATGCCACCATAAGAAAGATTTCGAGATTACAGCAAATTGGTATTTTTTGCAACCAAGGATAATCCACTTGTGATTGGCATAAGTGGTAACGTTAAAAGAATAACAGCAAGAGCAAGTTTACAAAGAACATTTGATGATACGCTTGAGTTTTGCATCGCCAAATATAATCATAATTGTATTTTATAAAATTGCCAAAGAAACGGTAAAAGCAAGGTGACAGCGACAAAAGGAGCGATTTGAAACAAGCAAAACTGTCCAGAAGTTATCATCATTACATACTAATTTTAAATTTTGAAATTAGTTTTAAAAGAACAAGCAAATGTCAATGTATTGACAGATTTATACTATCAAAAGCAACAATGTATGATGTTTAATTGCACCAAATCTAAATGATTTTGTTGCATTCATTGCACAATTCCTTTTGGTGGGTAGGCATGGTTACAGAGACATTACAAATGATATGCAAATTAAGTTTATGCACCCTCACAGTCCTTCTAAAAACTTTATTTGGCCACAGAGAGATATCATTTGAGGAATATTGTTCAGTTTAATTGTAGTAATCAATAATCCAACAACAAAATCAGAGCGAACATATAACATAAAAATTTTTCATATTACTTTTGTAAAATTTTTGAAAATGATATGTTTTAGTAATGATTACAATCTGATTCTTTGTAATAACTTTAACTAAACTATTTAATACAACAACAACAACAACAAAAACAATATTTGCAATGTACATCATCATTTATATAATTCTCCCCATTTGAAAATATAATTTTTTAGCATCAGATTTTATAAAATTATTATAATTTTATAAGACAACAGAAACAGCTAATCAATAACAATTAAAAGAACAGTTTGTTGTAAATAAAACTTTTTAATTTACAAAACTGTCAAGTTACCACCTTTTTTTTTCTATTTTCATTTATTAAAACATCTTTCTTTTAAGAAATAAATTTAAGTAAATTTGACCATGTTTTTATTTTGAAAACTTCTTTTAAAAAAGATCTACATCTGCATTTTTGTGATATTTGACTTGCCTCAGTAAAATTGTGATAAACATTTAAATTTTAGGTGTTATGTTCATTTTTAATTATTTTAAGTTTTTCTATTGGATTTGTTGACCCAAAATATGTTGAGGTACAAATTTTCAGCTTTTCAACACACATCTAACAATAACTAGCAAAAACTATTTTCAAATATGGCAGATTTTTGTTGTTGAAGGCAAAGTTAAAATAGTTAAAATAGTTAAAATCAAAATGGCTGAAATTAGTCAAAAAAATTTTCAGGACATTCATAATTTACTAAAATCTTTAATTGGTTTGAAAATCAGCAAAAGCTGAGTCTTAGGCTTGTATGCGCTAGATGTTTTCACATGGAGTTGCCTGGATACCGAAAACTAGTCAGAAACAATCTTTTTTGACTTTTCAAATCCAGAGTTTGGATCCCTACTTATAATTAAACTTTTAATTTTTTAAATTTTGTTTGAATGCTCAAAATAGTGTTTAAAAAAATTTAGAAATGAGGGAAAATTGTGAAAATAAACTGAATGTGTAGGTTTTTGTATTTTGATAGGCTGTTATTTAGTCTGATGCATAAAACATTAAAAAGCAATGATTTAAGTTTAAAATATTTAATTAATTTTAACAGTTAAAACTGTATCATTAAACGGTTAAAATTGTTACAAGTCAAAGAAAACTGTACATTATATATGCAGCATCATTAAAAGTCGAAGAAAATTGTACATTAGATATGCAGCATTTTTATAAGTCAAAGAAAATTGTACATTATAAATGCATCATCTTTAAAAGCCGAAGAAAACTGTACATTTTATATGCAGCATCTTTAAAAGTCAAAGAAAACTGTACATTATATATGCATCTTTAAAAGTGAAAGAAAACTGTATATTATATATGCTGCTAAAAGCAGATTTTATATGCAGTTAAAAAAGAAAAAAAACTTTACACAACTTTAGATATTAAAATTCTTTTTTTTTTTTAATAACCAATTTTTCAATATACAACAATATGATTAATATATTTTATATATGACTTTAAATGTTTTTGTATTAGCATGTTCAATGGATCTAAACAAGAGAAGTTCTTCCTAATTTAAAACATGAAAGTTGTCAATATTCATCGTATATTTTTTTAAAAGAAATAAGCACTTTTAAGTTGCTTGTAATTGCTATTATTTTATTTGGTGTTATTGTTTTTAAAAAAAACATTAGACTTTAGATTATTGATGTTTTATTAAAAATGAGAAAATTTTATTTACAGAGTTGGATTAATATGTAACTAATATTTATTTACGTTAAAGATAGGTGTTGAATTTAAAAGATAGGATTGGTTGTTGGATTATTTTTTTTTTAACTTTCTTATAATTTTAAAATTAAACCTTTGCTCAGTTTTAAAAACCAAATTATATGATATTTGAAACTTAAAATTAGATACTTTAAACCAGCATTAATTTAACGTAACACTATTTGTAAAAAGATATCTAAAAAAGTTTAAATAGCTTTAAATTATAACTTATTTGAATTTTAATATAAAATGATATAACTTATTAAATTTATAACAATTTTTGTATAAAATAATTGGGTTATAAAGAAGTAAATTAAATTTGATGTAGAAAAATAAAATCATTTTAATTTTTATGAAAAGAAAATTAAGGATTTGATTTTGCAAACACGAATTTTTTAAACTTTAAAATACTGAAACAATTGGTCATATCGACAAGATAATTTTTAATTAGAAATGCATTGACGTGCAGTTTCAACAAAATTAAAATCGCAAATACCTTCCTATTCCTTTTATAGAAGAAGCACCGCGTGCAACAAGTTTTGCTCTAAATTCTTCCATGATTTGACGACACTTCGCCACACCTAAAAGTTTTATATGTTGGAGTCGAAGAACCCGTGCGCTAAAAAGTAATTTTGCTGAGTCGGAGAGAAATTAAAGAAATTAAAATTAATTATGTTTTAATGACGTAACTATGACCTTAAATAGCATTTTTGATTCGACGACGAATCATAAACAATATTTGATTCGACGACGGATTTGTCTCAATATTCCGTCTAGGCAACATAGTTAGTTCAATTTATTATTTATTGTTTAAAATTGATAAATGACAACTTTAATTGCTCAGGTAATATTAACTAAGAGTTGTTACACAACTGTTCCTATTATATGATTTATAAATAGCTATAAACTTTGACTATAAACATACAGGGCTGCCGAGAGCTGTCACGCCGCCTGGGACATTTTTTTTTTTTAACTATTTTTATTTTTATTTTATTGGAATTTTCATGCTATATTTTTCTATACAATGTTCTTAAATCCGAAAATATTGTTGGCTTAGCATAGGAACAGCAACAAATAGTCATTAAGGCTAATCCAAAGTAGCGTCCGTTATTGACCAACATTTTTGCGTACCGAAGTACTATTCAAGCGCTGAGTTAGCGGTGGCAGAATTTATACTCGTATTTTCAACTGTCCGAGTTTAAACTTTTTGTTCGACGCTCTAACCAACTGAGCTATCCAGTCAGAGCAATCCTAATTGGCGCCAAAAAAAGAATTAGCCGTATGAAATGTGTCATAAATTGAGTCTAGGTCAGGGAACAAAAAACAAGTTTTTCTCAAAAATATTTAATTTTTATATTTTAAATATAATTCCGGCTGTTTCGAGTTTTTTATTAAAGTTTAAACCTCATTATGTATATAAAAGTCAACAATATTATAACGGTAGAAAACCAAAAGATAAATTACAACAAGATAACTTGTTGTAATTTACCTTTTGATTTTCTGCCGTGATAATATTGTTGGCTTATACATTACTTGAGTTAAGAGATTTAAGGTTTGACGCACGCTTTCGCCAAATAATCAACATTGGTAGAGAAGGAGGTGTGAACTTCCTAGTTAAATGACTTCCGTGCGAGATGTACGTTAGGTCTTCTTACAGCAGCTTAATAACTAAAAAATAATTAAAAAAAAAAGTTAAGTAACTTTTAGATAAGTTCTAAATATCAAACTTATATGGCATTACTATGTTCATACCAATATCGTATAAAAATGTTTTGCTCAAAATTGTGCAATTTAAAATCTGGGAACAAAAACACTCTAACTTTTTTATCTGGTTTTACAAGGTACTTATATCAAAGCCTCTGTTATGTTAATGTTTGGTCAATTAAAAATGTACATTAACTATTTAAGAATAATTTTTTATTTAATTACGGATTTCTAATAATTTTATAGTAATAGAACATTCTCTTTAAAAAAATCATTATAGATTAGGGATGTACCGGAATTTCGTTACGGCCGCAATTTGCGACTTTAAGGTCATTCCAACTCCGGCCAAAATTACAATATTTTAGGCCGTAATGCCGGAATTAATTTTTTACTTTTTTTTTCAAGACATGAAACAATGAAAAAATGATTGTCTTGCTGGGCAATGAAGAACTATAGATAAATCTGTAAATCTAGGTAAAAAAATACAAAGTTCTTAATAAACAAAATGTAATTTTAGGTAAAGCGGACTAAAATAATTTTATTTGCGCTCTCGTCAGTGGAAGCTTTTTAAACATTGGAAATTTTAATTGAAATAATTAAATAAAAAGATTGCTGCTCCATGCTAAACCTTCAGTCAACGTAGCAGCACTTTTTAGTAGCAACTAGGAAGTGCTGCTACGTTTACTAAGTAAAAAATTAAAATTGTTTTAGACCGCTTAACTGTAGCTTTGTCTATTTTTAATTGCAGTAATCAGTTATGTAAGAATTTCTAAAAGTTTAGGAATATTGTGATGCAAAGAGTTGCTATCCAGTTATGAGCAATAAAAGAGCTCTTTTTTCATCATCATTTTTACCTGCCTATGTAATATGTAAATATATAAAAAGTCTCATTTTTAATGTTTCTTAATTTTTAAATAAGTTAAAAAGTATAGATGCCCAATACATTAAATATTTCAATTTTAACCTTAATGCAAAATTATAAAACAAAGAAATAATTTTAAATATAAATATTATGCAGGTTAAAACTTTCAATAAATAAAATTATAAGAAACAAATAAAAACAACATATTAGACTTAAATGAAACAAGAATCAAGTTAATGAAATAGGTTATAAATATATATTATGTAGCGACGATGCTGAGGAGAACATTTTCACTTTCAATTCTGAAGGTAAAAAATTACATAAATATAATTCTCATTTCAGCTGGATTTATTTCCTACAATTTCGGCAAATCCGGTTCTGGCCGGAATTCAAAATTTTTATTCCGGTACACCCCTATTATAGATTAGTAATGCATGTTTATGTAATAGTAACGCATAATCATATATTAAATTGCTAAACCAAATAAAGATAAAATAAAAATATTTTAATAATAAAATAAAAATATTTTAATAATAAAATAAAAATATTTTAATAATAAAATAAAAATATTTTAATTAAATAATTTATCTTCAAACAATAAAAAAGTTTCTTGTTTGAAGATATTTGATTTGAAAAATAATAAATTAAAGTGCTAAACCAAATAAAGATAGTATTAAAATATTTTAAGAAAATATTTAATCAAATAATTTATCTTCAAACAAGCAAAAAGTAAAAATAAACTTTTTTTCAAATAGAATCTTTTCAGTTTCTTTGCAGGTGAATTAAGAATTTTTAAGTTAGCGACTACTTTAGTACACGTGTACTAAAACTACTCTGCCACTGTTTAGTATACAGCAAATAGCACAATAACTGTTGTTCATCTTCTTACCTCATTCTTCCAAACAATTTAACTTAATGATAACTAAAAAACTTTTACAGCTTTACTGAAGGAATTGCTTTTCTGTTGAAAATATAGGTTTGTCATGTAACTTCCTTAAATTCCAGTTGGATGAAAATGTACGTTTAATATAAATCCAAGGCGAACAAAATCCTCAACCAGCTGAGTCAATGAATTACTTTTTTCTAAAGATAGATATTTTTTCATCTCTATTAAAACTTAAAAAAATAAGTTCATCTCCTATTTTCGGAATGAAATTTTTCTCTTTACAAGCTAATTTTGAAACAAAACGTTTTTGTTTGTGTTTTCTATATTAGATAATTTTACAAATTCTAAATAACTGTCTAATTTAAACATATCATCACACAATTGGCGTAGTTCATTAAAAAAAAAAAAATTTGAATTTTTTGTGAAAATCTTTAGCAATTAGCCTCTAAATCTAAAAAAAGGTTTGAGTCAAACACCACACAATTTGTAAGTTGGAATAAAAATACTCTTAATTAAATGCCTCCCACCCCCCACCCCCAGTATAAGTTAAATAGGAAAATGGGGAAAGGGGTTAGTGGTTTTGTGACAGCTCATACAAAAATTGTTACTAAAGTGTTACGGTGTTGTGATGAGAAGGGGGGAGGGAAAAAATTGTCAAAAATTGCGTGGCATAATTTGTGGACGACCTCTTTTTAGTTTAAACCAAATTAAACAATGAAGATATTTTTCCGTAAAATATCTGGTCTACAAGATAAACAACTAGATTGTTTTAAAGAAAAAAAAACTAAAGATCTTTTTGTGGACTACAAGCAACCTTTAAAATTAATTTAAAATGCAATATGTCAATCAAGATTTTATATGTTATATGATTTAATATAATTTATTTACGGTATATTATGGAATCCTAACTTTAGTTTTAATTTACAGACCTGTGAAATCTTAAGTTCTCGAGTGCTATTTTTAAATGAGAATTTTGCTCGGTCCTGAAATTATTATAACTATTAGAATATTCATCAAGGAAATAGAATACAAAGAGCTAAATAGTGCCGTGGCAAGTGGGTCTGCCCCTCCCCCCAACCCCATTAAAAAAAAAAACTAGCCATTTGGCTCCAATTTTTTATTTATTTATTCTAAAAAAGTGAATAAAATTTACAGATTACCCCGAAAAGCAGGGTACCTGACATATTAACATTGCCGTTCAAAAGACTAAAAACAATCAAATTAACACTTACATTCAATGAAATATATTTTATAATTGTTAAATTGATATAGAATTTACTAGTAAAGAGTTTTTTTCAAATACTTTTAATGTATTACGCAGATAATACAAGTACATCGCAAACCATCATAAAAAGGGTTTGCGACGTGTTTTCATGCTTGCAAACTCATTTTTTATGCCTTCATAACTTAATTTCTTTGCAACCTCAATTTCAATCGACAGCATTGTTAAAGAATACAAACGTTCATTGACCATTGTTGAACTTTTTAAAGATACAAAGAAAAATAGCTACATGTATTTATGTATAATGGAGCAAGATTATTTATACTAACCAATCAAAATTTTTAATTAACTTGCTAAAGCTACGTTCTGCACCTGCAATAGTAACAGGTAAATTAAGAATGATTCGGAACGCAACAACTAGATTGGGATAAGTTTCTTTAAGCTCTTCTTTGAGGCTTTTTTTCCTCCTTGTTATATGACCTCCTTGTTAAATGGCAAACTCCATTTCTAAATCCTCAAAATCTATATCATCAAGCTTCATTTGCAAACTTTTGCAATATACAGACAACGAATTTTAAACTCTCAGATCGGTAAAAAAAGTCATTAAGCTTTGTGACAATGCTGATCTGTTCAAAACGCTCTTTTACTGATACAATTGACATATCAAATATTGGCAAAAAAAATCTGCTTTATACTGATGTTCAAGTTGCCGAGTATGATGAACATACTCTTTCGAATAAATCGGTATTTTTTTTCGTAAACGTATTATTGGAAAAACCTTTTCAATGCCCAATACTTCTGCAATTTCTAATATCTTAATACGTGTGTCGGAAAGTCCATTTTTGCGATACTCATAAAAAAATACATTTGTTACCTTTATTTCACTAGCTACTATGTTCTAATATATTCCGTGAGCGATCGTACTTATGTGGCTGTAGCCCCATCTCTCTTTTCTAAGTCAGATTTCTTTGTCCTGAATT